TTTTCCCCCTTTTTTCAAACCCCCCGAACCTTTGTTTTCCCTTGCAATCCTCCCCCCCCCCCCCCCTCCTTCTTTCTTTTTCTCCCCTTTTTCGCCCACCTCTTTTTTCAATACCTCCCACCAATCCCCACCCTTCTTTGTTTTTCCTTTTTTCCCCTTTCTTCCAAAAAAACCGGCGTGGGGGCCCCCCCAAACCCTCCCCTTTGCCCCCCCCCCCCCTCTTCTCCATACCATCTCCGGTGCCCTTTTCTCCCCTACCTCCCCCCGCTGATCAACTCACCTTACCGCGGGCCATGTCCCCCTTTCCTTAAAGAGAGGGATTTGCACCCCTTTAAAAAAACAACACTCGACCCCACGATGTAAAAAACTACCCCAGTATCCCTTCTTTCTTTTTTTTCCAAAAACTATTGACGTGCCGTCTTTACCAACTCTCTTGCATCTCTCCAAAATGACCTTCTTGATCCAAACCATCGGGTTTCCAGGACGGGTCATTCAAGAGACTGCTTTTCCTGTGTCACGGAGGCTCTCCCACGCAAAAAGCAAACTCTCTCCCTCTCTCTGTCCTTCTAGACCGCTGCTCCCTTTGTACTTAAACCCATCAATCCCCCTCCACCCTCTCCGAGCGGGGCATCTCCGGCGCGGCTCACTCCTGATTGCGTCCTACCTGACCGGTCGCCCCTACCAAGGGGCTTTGCAGAAGCTGTCTCCGCACCACGGCTCTCACCACGGGTGTCCCCCGGGGCCAGTTCTGGCCCTCTCCTATTCTCCCTATAAAACCAAGTCACTTGGCTCTGCATATCCCACGGGCCCTCCTATCTTTGCTACCTGACGAACAAAACAAATCTTCCCCTTTCCCCCCTTCTGAAACCGGGTGCAAATCGCTCTCTGCATGCCCTGGAAACCCTGTCAGTTGATAGGGTCCACCTCAGCTAAACCCCGGCAAACGGACGCCTTCCTCCCGGGGAAGGACTGCCCGTTCCATGATCTCGCCACCCGGGTTGACAACTCCGTTGTGTCCTCCTCCCAGAGTGCGAAGAGCCTTGGCGTGACCCTGGACAACACCCTGTCGTTCTCCGCTAACATCAAGGCGGTTGACCCGATCCTGCAGGTTCATGCTCTACAACATTCGGAGAGTACGACCCTGCCTTACACAGGAAGCGGCACAGGTCCTAATCCAGGCACTTGTCATCTCCCGTCTGGATTACTGCAACTCGCTGTTTGGCTGGCCTCCCTGCCTGTGCCATTAAACCCCTACAACTCACCCAGAATGCCGCAGCCCGTCTGGTGTTCAAACCTTCCCAAGTTCTCGTCACATCACCCCCTCCTCCGCACACTCCACTGGCTTCCAGTTGAAGCTCGCATCCGTTACAAGGACCATGGTGCTTGCCTATGGAGCAGTGAGGGGAACGGCACCCTCGTACCTTCGGGCTCTGATCAGTCCCCTACACCCAAACGAGGGCATTGCGTTCATTCCACCTCTGGCCTGCTGGCTCCCCTTCCTCTGCGGAAGCATAGTTCCCGCTCAGCCCAGTCAAAACTGTTCGCTGCTCGGGCCCCCAAGGGTGGAACAAGCTCCCCACGACGCCAGACGCGGATCCTCCCCAAACCTCGGAGACATTTGAAACCCCCCTCTTTAAGGAATACCTGGGATAGGGTAAAGTACCTTTACCCCCCCCCCCCCCCCCCCCCCCAAAAAAAAAAAAAAAAAAAGTGTAAAGTGGGTTATCCCCTGGCTAAGGGGGAATGCACCAAATTTTGGGGGGCTCGGATAAAGGTCTCAAATACGAAATTTCCCTTAGCAGGCACTTAACCCTAATTGCTCCTGTAAGTCCTCTGGGTAAGAGCGTCTGCTAAATGACAAAAAAATAAAAGTAAATGTAAACCATCACCACCACCCCACCATCCACCTTTCCCACCTCACCACCCAACCTCCACACAGACCTCCACCCCCTTTCCCGCCTCCTCCAACCTCACTATCTCCAACTCCACCCCGCCCCGCCTTCGCCCCCCTCCACTTTCCCCTTCCCCCCTCCCACTGCCCCCTCCGTCTCCACCTCACCCCTCACCCCCTCCAGGGTCCCTGTTCCCAAAGCTGGACAGCCCTAAGTCAGTCACCAGAAGGCGTGAGTCAGCTCCATGGTGGTAGTACAACAGATTCTCAGGTTTCAGGTCTCTGTGTGTGATGCCCAGAGAGTGAAGATACCCCACTACGGCAAGCGTCATCTGCGGGGCACGAGTAGCATCACGCTCAGTGAAGTGGCCCTTAGCAATGACACGGTCAAACAGCTCCCTGCCCGTGGCCAGTTCCAACATTCACGTAGACCCTCTGAGGCGACTGGAACACCTCCACCAGCTGCACCACATTGGGGTGGCTCACCCTGCCCAGTACCCCCAGCTCCGATTCACACACCTCGAGCCCCTTCCTGGCTTCCACCTCCATCATCTTGATTGTGAAGGGCTGGCGGGTTGCACGGTGCTCGACGCGCACCACCCGGCTGAAGCGGACCGTGACCTATCAGGGCCTTGATGTCATACCTGGAAGGGCAGGGAAGGATCAGAGATGGGCGTGTGTGGGGAAATAGAATGGTATTCCATTCTGTTATTTTCTACAGTCAATTCTATTCTTGTGAAATTAGGAAGCCTATGGGAAATAATATATTGAAAAGAGATTGTAGAATCATCATCATCATCATCATCATCATCATCATCAACATGATCCTTATCATCAACCATAACAACTACATCAGCAGCAACAAATTATATCTACACATACCTGCACACATGAATTTGCACTGATTTATATTATACTACTGATCTTCAACTGTAACGGTTTTCCACAATTACCTTGCTGTGACTCGGGGATCAAACTTCGCCCTGTACTTAGCCACTTTGTTGTGCCTCTGCTGCCCATCCTGGGCCATCGATTGTTGAATGTGTGAAGGCGCCTGGTTAACTCTGATGCTCCAAAGGGCTTTCTGCTTCCCTTTACACTTCTGTGGCTCATCATCAAACTCTTTTCTTTTGTGACCGTAGCCCACTACTGACTTCACGAAACTCACGCAACCAATTTTCAAGGGGCTCTGGTAGCACTTTGCTGGTCCCTCAACCCATTACTAAAATGCTAAAAATGATATAAAGTGAGAGTTGTCGCTTGCTTAACTGCACGCACAAACTTTGACAATCTCACGAGACTTCTCATGCTCGGTATGCGTCTGCAGCAGTCAACTTTAGCCTATACTATAACACATAAACGGCTAAATTCATGAAGAGGAGACGTGTATTTCAAACAGACTTGGGTGTAGACAGTTATGAGAAGAAGAGTGAGTGAGCAGATGAAGACAAGATAGACAGGTGACTGGTGTTTAGAATGTGTGAATGGATTCACTGAAAGGGATTTTCTCGCATTTCTCTCACGCAGGTGCACAAGGTGAGAATGCACTTCCATTTTTTAAAACATTTTAGTCATTTAGCAGACGCTCTTATCCAGAGCGACTTACAGGAGCAATTAGGGTTAAGTGCCTTGCTCAAGGGCACATGGACAGATTTTTCACCTAGTCGGCTCGGGGATTAGAACTAGCGACGTTTCGGTTACTGGCACAATGCTCGGTTCCTGGCCAGTGGCGGCTCCTGAAAAAATTCTCAGGAGGGGCAATTTTTCTGATGATTTAGGTGACCTACACACATTTAAAAAAAAGATATGTCCAGCAACAACATGAAGACAGGGGCAGCATATAAGTCAATACCAGAAGCATTTATTGACTGATCTCAAAAGTGTTGGCTTACCAGGGTTGGTGGAGCCCTCAGTTTCATCTTTGCCTCGCAAAGCTAACTCAAACACTCCGCAAAACTTCACACACTGGATTAGCCGGCTGAGGATGTGGCGGTTCTTGCTAATGTCGTAGTAAATATATTTGTTATAGTGAATATGGAATATGATATGTTGAGTAAAATGTTGTGCTAAGATCTATTTAGGTCAGGAGCTGGTTATAAGTTCTGTTCCTATCCAATAACAATGGACAAAAGGGTCCTATCTTGTCAGCCTTGTCAGCAGGTGGCCAAGGACAACACCCACGCCATAGGCCTCTCAGTTCTTCCAACTCACGAGTTCTTGCTCTGAGGACACACACACACACAAACACACACACACACACACACACATCATCACTGTTAAACACACACACACACACACACACACATCATCACTGTTAAACACACACACACACACACACACAAAAATCCCCTCTCTTAGGCTGAACATTTGAAGACAGAGAACCCGACTCAGAGCCAATGCAACAGTGACAGTAGCCTGGAGGTGACCTCGCCCAACTCATCAGGACCAATCAGAAGATCAGAACTACTAGATTGAACCTACTTCATTTATTGCATAAAATGTCTGCACACAATGTTTCGGGGCTCTCTTCAGATAATAATAATAATAATAATAATAATATGCCATTTAGCAGACGCTTTTATCCAAAGCGACTTACAATCATGCGTGCATACATTTTTGTGTATGGGTGGTCCCGGGGATCGAACCCACTACCTTGGCGTTACAAGCACCATGCTCTACCAGCTGAGCTACAGAAAGTGGATACTCATGGATGCGCATTGCAATTGTAAAATGTCAACACAATTGGAGACACCACGTCATTTTTGGAGACATGTTATTGACAGTAAACTATTGTAGATGCGACTGCTAACTAAATAAAACATTTTAGCTGGCTAGCTAATCATCTTAGCTAAATGTGGGGCAAACAATTCAGTTATTTACCGTTAATTTGAGGGATTGGGGTGAAAGAAATCGAGTTACATAGTGATACTTTACGATATACTGTATTGACAATATCGCAATATTTTAGCGCTAGTTGGCTGTACCTGCACCAAAACACCATTATTGTTCCTTCATAGCTTGTTCTCAATCTTTTCACATTGGGAGCCAATTAGTTTTCAGCACTTTTATTTCCATGACTGATCAAAACTCGTTCTCATGGCTTTCTGATCCCTCTGCAACAGACATATGGTGCGCAATAAAATCACAGTATCGAATCGCAATACGTATAGAATCATGAGACTCGCAATGCTGATGCATATATCTTATCGTGAGGTTCCTGGCAATTCCCAGGCCAAGTTCATTTGCCACAACAAATCTCTTCGCTAGCAAACGCGATGTCTTCTCCAAAACGACAATGTGTCTCCAGCAATGTTTACTTTTTTGACGTTCTATGGCATCTCCACTTTCCAAGCATATATGACCACATGTAATATTTTGGTAAGTGATGCAAATAGTGAACTATGTAGGGCCAGGATGTAAAATATATGTAGCTGCAGCAATTTCTCTTATCTGATATGGTAAGTAATGGGGCTTAATGTATAGCTCCCTAAGAGTTTGACGAACGGGTCCGTGAACGCGATTCCAGATATATTTACCTCTGAATAAACTGCCTTTATTACACCATATCCACATCCAGTAAACTTGTGATTATCAACACTAACCTCATCGTTGTGGCGGCGGACAGCTAGCCTGTATCCCTCGTCATCCAGTTGAGTGAGTCGCAATGTCTTTTTTCGTTCGTACCAATTTTTGGAAAATCCTCGGGTGTAGGACTTTCCGCCTTTAGTAGAAACCTGTTGAATTATTAAATTTGGTCTGGGAGGTCCTAATTGTTTCGTTGCCAATTTATCTTAATTTGTTCGCCGACAAAAAGGAACTTCTTTCAAAGACACAATCGAGTTGGACTGAAGCCTAGCCATTTTGATAGTAGTAGTGAATTGATTGAGGCTGCTACCTGGTCTTTTCTTAGTTACGTTCATTCGTGGTTACGTTATGTATGACGAAAGCGCGTAAGTGCAAGCCCACAGACACCCATAGAGAATGTATTGAAAGCTTTGAAATGTGAAAAAAATAGATTTTACATGACAGGCTATGAGAGACTTCTGGGCGATTTTCAACCTGACTGAAATCGCCCAAAAAACGGGCGGGGCCATTTGAAGCACGACTTTAGCCTGATTTGACATTTAGTGGCTGTCAGATCAGACGTGAACACTGATAACTGCTGTTGCCGTGATATAATTTTTTATAAATTTATAAAAAAAAAATATATATATATATATATTTTTTTTTTTTTAATAATTGATTAGAAAAAAAATCCCTTCCTTTTCCCGTTTGGCAGTGCGTCGCCCATATCGCCCTATTGAACAAGCCGTCCCTGTTCCTGGCACAACGCTCTTAACCACTAAGCTACCTGCCACTTCCACTCTTCCACATCAGTCAGGTGCCAAAAATAAAGCATTCTTGAACTGATAGTTGTCATTTCTGAAACTAACACTACTTTCTGTCCTCTCTTCCGTGTTATGCTACCTGCAATGGTGACCACTGGCCATGCGGGGCAAGCCATTATTCATCACTGATGCGGCAAACCAATGATGAGATAATGGTTTTCATCACGGCTCCGTCTCCTCTGCCAACGCCGTGGGCTATCTCCTGAGCTATACGCCCATTCATTTCGCATCGGCGCTGCTTGAACGGCTTCTCTATCTGTCCCTGCATCCACACTGAAGATCATGGGGTGTTGGTCCTCTGGTTCCTACAAATACTATATTAGATTAGACGCCAAGGAGATGAGTGATGATTTCATCTGTGAGATTGGTATAGTTTACCACGCTCACTGTCAGTAGGCTATTTTATATTGATGCTTTGCTTGGGCAGTGAGCTACCCTGAAGGAGCAGAGCCTATATCGCCAAGACTTGCATTATTCGTTGCTTAATAAATGGTTAAACATATTTACACATGGCATTTTTTTTTCTGAAATGTATTAATGACAACATTCAAGCTGACAACAACTCGGACTGCTGGTCTCTACACATGATAGGCACATTTCCTCTCGGTTCAATTGCTGTTTACCACACCAGTCTGTAAGCGCCTTATTTTTTTTTACAGGAATGGAGAAATGTTATTTATTTATTTCAGCATCTTGAGAGAATTAATGCGCGGTTAGGGACCATCTGTAAAGGTGGCGGTGCTATCTTTATCAGCATCATAAAAGCTGGTAGTATTTCTACCACAAATAATATGCTTCCAAGCCGAACTGAAATCTCATCAAAAACATGTTGGGTCGTTTTAACAGCTTTTAATTTCTTTAAAAACCGGTCAAATTGATATCATTTGGAAATTATTGCATTTTCTCCCTGGTCCCTAAACGTCTTTGCCACGCCAATCAGAGATGAAAACAAACTTTACCGATGTTAACTAGATTGAAGCATTCATTCTATCAATTTATGACATTATTCTGGTGAGCAAAGGTTTATTTAGTCTTCTAAGACAACAAATAAAGCTGGGACAATAAACTGAAAATTATCAACACCAACTATACCAATCTATACCCTAACCCTAACCCTATTTTGCTGATATCGTTCATTACGATAACTAGCCTATACTAGAGAAATGTGAAGTTTGAAATTAAATAAGTTTGCTAATATGGGTGATTGTTAATGGGTCAATTAAAGTGTAGAACCATCAAACTAACAGTGGTGCACATTGTTATAAACTTATCTTTCTATTTATTGTTATCACATCAATTCAGGCAATTTATTCCGATACGGATTTTTGTCCATATCGCCCAGCTCTAGCAACAAGTAATGACAGAAGAGAAGCTGCATGTATCTAATTATAGACAAGTTGACTAAGAAATAGCCAAACAAAATGTCGGAAATTGTAAGCAGAAACATAAGCCTTCCTAAAAAGGCCTGTCAAAAAAACATTTAGCCATCTCTGACGCTACAGTGTATTTTCTATATTTGCAGGTTAGGGTCAGGTGCGGCCCTCACATTTTCACTTTATCACATATAGTCGGGTGGTTGAGGATTGGTTATTAGCAAATGCGGTTGGGTGCGGGTGAACAAACAGCTGACCCGCGCATCACTAACACACACATAGAGTCTCAACCCAACAGAGGATACACATCAGATCATCAGCCAGGCGGTAAATCGTCCTTCAGAAGGCCTCCTCAGGGAGTCAGTAGTTAAGTGTTATCAAACCACTATCTGATTACTAAAAGGCTGTCCCCTATTATAGATTAACCACAACATGTGTGTGTGGTGTTGGTAATGCAGTTTGCTGTGTGGGTTTGTGTGTTTGTGTGTTGATAATGCCGTTTGCTGCCTGCCGTGTGCTTTTGAGTCCTTGGGAGAGTAAACCCTTCAGGAAAAAATACATGAATTTCACGTGATCATGTGTTTCACAGCAAAATTTCAACATGTGATACCATGAAACTACACTTGAAATTGTATTTATATATATACAGTGAGGGAAAAAAGTATTTGATCCCCTGCTGATTTTGTACGTTTCCCCACTGACAAAGAAATGATCAGTCTATAATTTTAATGGTAGGTTTATTTGAACAGTGAGAGACAGAATAACAACAAATAAATCCAGAAAAACGCATGTCAAAAATGTTATAAATTGTACTGTACATCGCAATATTTTAGTTTAGAATTCTTGTTCTCAAATTTGTTGAGGCTGTTACCAGAAGATACCACTTGTTTTAGCTGACCAAAATAAATCACACTAACGTCTAGAATGTAGGGTGACCATTTAAAATACCCAAATGCGGGACATCAAGATGATTTTGCGGGACATTCACGGGACAGTCTAGCCCACATGAATACAAAATGTTGACCGCGTTCTTCACGTTTTACCAGTGAAACCCCAAACTGAATCTGCATGCCAATCATTTGATCTCAATCAGTTTCATGGGAATATGCATTTAGATCTTCTTCAATTCATTTTCGTGAGCAAATTAGAGCAGATGGTCTTAACAAAATATATAGCCTTCCTGTATTTGGTTTCAACCCAAGCAAATAGAGTATCTCAGTATGAGTCATAATAACCATAAAACCTAGTGATCAAATAGGGAAATGGTTCCAATCGTTTTTCAACCATTCATTTTTCCCATAGGGGATTTTAAATCTCTCTAGGACAAGGTGACTTTTATCAATATATTCGCCTCTAATTATCCCTCAAAATGAAATGCTAATAAGCTGCTAATGTGGCTATCATAAAGAACTACAAATGCCACGATGATCTGGACGAGACTGCCGAATCGAGGCAAAGGTAAGAATCTTCGGATTAACTATCTAATGTTAGCTAAATGTAGTAATGAATAAATTGGGAACATTTCTGGAAATTGACAATTCTTTGAACTGTCTTGTGCAAGTTTTAAATTGACACAATATCGGTTAGCAAAGGTGACAGCTAGAGATGACGTGCAGGTGCTTGCAGGGATTTGTAGTTTTGCATGATGTCTACTTTGATACTAATTAGCATTTTCAAATCTGAGATTAAATAGAGCAGAATATATTGATAAAAGTCACCTTGTCCTAGAGAGATTTACATGGTTATCAAAACGTCACACCAGGGTAAACCTACACGAAACACAGCCCTTAACTTAAATGTTTTTCCTTTAATCCCCTATGGGAAAATGAATTGTAGAAAAACGATTGGAACCATTTCCCTGTTTGACGACTAGGTTTTATGGGTATTATGACACCTCCACTGTGGGGCTCTATTCTGCCTAGTGGCGCACGCTGTTTTGGCCCATAAGATTCAATTTTTTTGTCCATTCAGCTTACCATCCTAAAATCTCATTATAAATTACTAAAGTGGTGTTATTGGTGTAACAGTAATGTTATATTATGCTATTATATTTGGTTCTGTTACAGTGAGGGGGAAAAGTATTTGATCCCCTGCTGATTTTGTACGTTTGCCCACTGACAAAGACATGATCCGTCTATAATTTTAATGGTAGGTGTTTTTGAACAGTGAGAGACAGAAAAAAAACAAAAAAATCCAGAAAGACGCATGTCAAAAATGTTATAAATTGATTTTCATTTTAATGAGGGAAATAAGTATTTGACCCCTCTGCAAAACATGACTTAGTACTTGGTGGCAAAACCCTTGTTGGCAATCACAGAGGTCAGACGTTTCTTGTAGTTGGCCACCAGGTTTGCACACATCTCAGGAGGTATTTTGTCCCACTCCTCTTTGCAGATCTTCTCCAAGTCATTAAGGTTTCGAGGCTGACGTTTGGCAACTCGAACCTTCAAATCCCTCCACAGATTTTCTATGGGATTAAGGTCTGGAGACAGGCTAGGCCACTCCAGGACCTTAATGTGCTTCTTCTTGTGCCACTCCTTTGTTGCCTTGGTCGTGTGTTTTGGGTCATTGCCATGCTGGAATACCCATCCACGACCCATTTTCAATGCCCTGGCTGAGGGAAGGAGGTTCTCACCCAAGATTTGACGGTACATGGCCCCGTCCATTGTCCCTTTGATGCGGTGAAGTTGTCTTGTCCCCTTAGCAGAAAAACACCCCCAAAGCATAATGTTTCCACCATGTTTGACGGTGGGGATGGTGTTCTTGGGGTCATAAGCTGCATTCCTCCTCCTCCAAACGCGGCGAGTTGAGTTGATGCCAAAGAGCTCGATTTTGGTCTTATCTGACCACAACACTTTCACCCAGTTCTCCTCTGAATCATTCAGATGTTCATTGGCAAACTTCAGACGGGCCTGTATATGTGCTTTCTTGAGCAGGGGGACCTTGCGGGCGCTGCAGGATCTCAGTCCTTCACGGCGTAGTGTGTTACCAATTGTTTTCTTGGTGACTATGGTCCCAGCTGCCTTGTGATCATTGACAAGATCCTTCCGTGTAGTTCTGGGCTGATTCCTCACCGTTCTCATGATCATTGCAACTCCACGAGGTGAGATCTTGCATGGAGCCCCAGGCTGAGGGAGATTGACAGTTATTTTATGTTTCTTCCATTTGCGAATAATCGCGCCAACTGTTGTCACCTTCTCACCAAGCTGCTTGGCGATGGTCTTGTAGCCCATTCCAGCCTTGTGTAGGTCTACAATCTTGTCCCTGACATCCTTGGAGAGCTCTTTGGTCTTGGCCATGGTGGATAGTTGGGAATCTGATTGATTGATTGCTTCTGTGGACAGGTGTCTTTTATACAGGTAACAAGCTAAGATTAGGAGCACTCCCTTTAAGAGATCAAATACTTATTTCCCTCATTAAAATGCAAATCAATTTATAAAAATGTTTAAATGCATTTTTCTGGATTTTTTTGTTGGTATTCTGTCTCTCACTGTTCAAATAAACCTACCATTAAAAGTATAGACTGATCATTTCTTTGTCAGTGGGCAAACGTACAAAATCAGCAGGGGATCAAATACTTTTTTCCCTCACTGTATGTAGAATACTAATTAATCATTATGTGATCTTCCAATACATTGATTCAGCTTTGATCGAACTTTACTAATCGAGCACCATTGTGAGAAGTGGGAGAGCTCGTTCAAGCAGCATTACACCCCTACTCCCGCTGCACCAAACAGCTATACTCTTTTGCCACGCCAAAAATTGGGTGATGCTGAAATTAGATAACAAGGGGCTGTTTATGAAAATCTGGGAATATTTGTCCAAGGAAACATTTCTGGTTTGTCTCAGGGAATGTAAAACAGTTAGGAAGGGATACTTTTAAAATGGAATTGAG